TCCAATCGGGATTCAGATACCAATGAGTATCGAAACGTGGGTACATACAGTGCTCGTTTGAGGATGACTGTATGTTTGGTTCCATCCAACAGGCTCACATGGAGGTAAGCATCTCCGGATGCAGTTGTCTGGTAAATTCTACCGTCTGCTGTTACTCTCTTTTCGGATGAAGGCGTAAGACTTTGGAAGTCACCTGAATTGGGAGATATGTGGTTCGATGCCCCAGAATCACATAACCATTCTGTCGAGACTTCTCCGATTGTCATACAGACAACCTTTTCCTCTGGTGTAGGAGGTTCCTTGGCTTTCGCCATCAGAACCGTGACTGTAGTGTCGGTAACGGCTGTGGTGTTTGGCTTGTTGTCCCGTTTCTTCTTTTTGGCTTTTTCCCTTGAGAGACCTCGACATTTGTTAGTATTGTGGGTATCGCTTTTCCCACCTCTTGCTGCACACCATGTGCAATACATCTGTTTCCTGTTCTTGTAAGGTACCAATAGTACCTTTTCCTCCTCTTTACCTTCTCCTTTTTCTGCTGCCCTGCTTAGAAAGTAATCCTTAATGTCCACGTATCTGGTTGTCTTTCTTGCCGACAAGACATCGCATAGATCAGGGTGCAACTCTTTGATGGATAGCATGAAGACAGTGCCCTTGACTTCTTCTGCTTGTGTCCATGCTCGCATTGCGGTTCAGAATTCATTGGTTGTTTCATCATCAGCTGATAAACATCGTTGGGCAAGACGGTTCTATGCGGTTTCGAACTTTGTGGCATGGTCGGAGATGGATTGGGTGGAGACAAGTTTGATTTTCCAGATGGCTTCAAGTAGCATCATGTTGGTAGCTGGAGTTTCTTTTTTTAATTTGTCTTTGAACGCCTGCCAGACCTCCGCTGCTGAACCTTTGGCGGAGATGTCGGCATGGTAGATGGAGTTTACTGCTTGGTAGAGGTAGAATCTAGCTTTAGTGTCCTTTTTCTTCCACGTCGTGACTTTTGTAGCATCTTCTGATGCTCCGATCGTAGGGATCTCAGGCTTCTTTTCCGTTCCCAGTACTACCTCTGACAGACCAAGGACTTCGAAGGCAACCAGCCAGGCTTGCGCCCAAGTCTGGTAGTTCTCTTGTCCTTGTAGTTTTGGGTAGTCGGTTACGGATAGCTTGAAGACAGTTTCGGTATCGTTCGACATATTGCTTTATCGTGGTACGTTTCCGATTACTGTCGTTTCTGATCGTCTGTTTTGTGGAAGGGGTCGGTTTCTTTGTGACCAAAATCGCCAACTATTTATCTCGCCTAGGTTCCTGATTGCGTCACGGCGTAGATCGTCGTAGTACTTTTCACAACAGGAAGGGAGAAGATAATCAGGTGAAAGAGGGCGTTTTTTGTTGCAGTAAGGACACGTCCACCAGTCTAGTGCATCAAAGTACTGGCGGGCCAGGTTGGTTTTTGTTGAAGGAGGAGTTTGAGGGGAGGATTAACGGTATACGCTCGCTTAGGAGTGCTCTTATGGCCTTGTGGTATATGATGTTCAGGTTTGCGGAAGATCTCACAAACCCGGGCTCATAACCTGAGAATATTTGTATCTAAGTCACTTGCACTTGTGATAGTGGAGTAGACCTGGTGAACAAGATATATCTTTAAGACTCATAGATTAATCCAAGCTTGCATGCTCTTCTAACAGAAAGGAAAAATACACCCCTATTTATACCCTTCTATGGTTATGCGAACACTGACTCATACCAAGGAAATCTATATACCCTGCTAGAATCTTCTAGCATAACAACTGGTCATGTGACTGTCACATGACCGACACAGTCACACCACCGTACAGGAATGAGATACCGTATTTTGAACAGTGGTATTACCGGCAAACAACGCTTGGTTCAATGGCTCTGGTTTGCGCCGCCGAGAGTGAAGCAGACCTATGAGAAGTGCGTGGACTTTATTGGTGGTGGCTCGTCGGCGCCGGTTATTACCATAATTCTGCCGTTGCCGCCTGTTATTATGCCACCCCGGTGTAGATACTTCTGCCCTGGCCGTGGCATCCACTACAGCTTCTGAGAACCTTCCGCGCCCCTCGAAACCCCTCCACCCCCTCCTCACCAGCCCCGCTGCTGACTACCTGCTCCGCCAACGGCAACACATACAGCCACTGCAGAGATAAAATCAACAAATGTCTCGTGACAGAGTGGCTGCCTAGGCCGAGTGTGCGACCCGTAGGTCTGCTTGTAAGGTGTGCTGAGCGGGTGGGCAGTCTCCGGAAGGGTTCTTGTATTGTGGGCTCTTTATTGTTATCTTCAGTTGGTTGGTTTTTGGCTGTCGTGTTTGGCCGTGGGGCGGGCGGGGGGGGAGTATTGTGAATGTGTTCTCTAACTATTTTGGCATTTTGGGGTCAAAAGTTGTGTATATTCTACGTACTGTATGTTATATTTATCACGGAGGGTGGTGCTTTCCTGCGAGGTGCACGGGCTCCATCCCAAAATTGCATAATTCGAAGGGCACGGGTGAGAATTCATGAATCGCAAGTCTAATTTTTTTCTCATTACAAGTTACATAGTCTCAAACCCGAACGCACAGAACTCACCCACTAACTGCTAATTGGTGCCCGCTAGCGCAAGTAATGACCTTAGAAAAGCAAAGGGGAAAAAAAATGCGCCAAACCCGGATTGAACGGGTGACCTTCAGATTACCCCGAGTTTGAATAACTGAAGCGGAACTTCAGTCTGACGCTCTCCCAACTGAGCTATTGGCGCTTGACGTTCCATGACTAAATTTTGCTATAAAGAAACGTTTTAACAGAGCCAAAGAAGGAAAAAAGAAGAAAAAAAATTCCAAACTATTACCCCGAACTACGTCCTTCACATTGGGCACGGTTGGTATAGTGCTCAAGAGCCGATCTGTGCCACTTTTGAAGGATGAGAAACCATCATCCGCATGAACAGCCACTATTTCCAAATGAATAGCCTTTCCTTCCAGGTTCTTTTGTCGTCCCGGTTAACCCCCCGTCTCCATCCTGACCACTCCCCACCACCACTACTTCTCTCCTCTCTCTCCTCCAACTTCTCCAATTCCTCCCTCAGGCGCGCAGCCAACTGCCTTGCGTCAACCTGCAACGCCCTAGGTGGCTCCTCTGCCATTTCAAATCCAAGAACGCTACTGTTTCCACTCGTCGTGGTCTCAAGAATCCAGCTGTTCCTTAAGCTTCCACTTTGGCTATAATGCGATCTAGGTAGTTGCGGCTCCGCTATCCGACAAACCTCCAGGCTACCAGAGGACCCAGTGGCAAATTCCGCGCATATCCAAGACTTGCCGATGCATAGCTTTGTCCTAGACTCCGCGGGAGCGGGGCGCATGGAGGTCCAGAGGATTGGGCAGAGGTTGTGGGGGTTTAGGAATTCGCCTGATCCGGCAGTGGGGGAGAGGAGGTTTAAGGAATTAAAGGCGATTATTCCCCCACCGTGCCAGACGAGGCCAAGTTCTGGACAGTATTTTGTCTCGGCTGTATCGGGGACTGCGCCGTCTGCTGGGGCGCGCAAGTAGCGGATTTTGGTGCCGCCGCTACCCCAAATCTTGACTACCATTACTTGCCCGATAACACCACCTTGTCGGTATTCCCGGTTTCGGACGGAGCCATAGATGATGATTTCGTGTTGATTCGGAGCAAAGAACATGTCCATGTCTCGCTCCGGTATCAAGCTGAACAGAGGTGAGACGTCGAAATGGTAGGCTCGCAAGCTCTCCCCAGAAAGCGCATTGACTAGCACTATTCTATGGAGATTATCCCGATGGGGAAACCTTTCGGCAACAAGGAGGTGCTTTCCGAGAGTGTCCGGACGAATGGATATGAGGGTCCGAGGAGATATCCTAAGAGGTGATATATGTAACCCTGCCGATGCTAGTTCTGGGGGACTAGGCGCTTTGAAGCGTAAGATCATGATACTACTAGTTCCATCCTCTCGTAGCCCGTTCAAAAACACAACGTAATGATCATTGAACAGTGGCTGCAGCCTCCGTCTTCCATCGGCAGCTGTCGAAGCCAGACCAGTAATCCCTGGGAAAACTGACGTGGTGACCGAAGCAGACCATATTGTCCTCCCATCACCCCCCTCCCGACAATCTGCTAGCACAAACAATGACGGCCCCCGATTCCTGTCCCTGTCATAGACCAACAGAACTTTCCCCCCATTCATGTGTATTCCGTTCAAACCCTCTCGTGGCACTGTTACGGAAACCTGCTGTCCACTAACCAAGCTCTTCACAATAATGCGCACAGCGGCAATATCCAATTCCGCCGTCAAGTAGTAACCCTTATCCGAATCGAGGTCTACAAGCCTAAGGTCGCCCGGCGAAAAACGGTCATCACTCACAGGATCAAGGGTAAAACTGAATTCCCGCCGCGAAGTCCATTGCCTCCTCCTCAGCCTGCGTAACTTCTGCTGAACCCTATTAAAACTCCCCATAGTGGTCCCAGCCTCGCCGGTTCCGCACGTCTCTGGGGCGAATGGGAAGAAGTGTGATAAGCAAAACCGACAGAAGTCGATGGAGGTAAACGCCTGATTCCAAGCACGGGATACCAGGCAGAGTGAAGCGACATCGCTAGCGCTTAGCTGGCCGGCGAAAACGATAATTTGCAGCAGCCCTGGAGGGAGCTTGGTGAGTGACATCGTCGTCGTAAGTTTGTATGATCTGTGCTGTGGGTTGAAAAGGCCGGTGGGGCAAACAAAAAAGACCCAACATCAATCAAGGCAGTATGTTGGAGGAGATATGATCCATTCCGGCAGTAGTCTAAAGGGTATCAGGGTGACTACCTTCCCGGGCAGATGTGACGTCGTCTACAGTGCACCCAAGCTGAAGAAGCAGGCCGAGCTCTCACTCTGTGGCAACAAAATCTGTCGAGTATTGTACTCGTGTAGTACAGTGCATTACCAAATTCGATCGTATTTTTCTTTCTTCCCCCTTCTCCTACTCCTCCCGCCGTGGGCCCATTTTCTTCTCCTCTTTTCCTTTCACGCCCGGAGGGTGGGGGGGGCCCGCGAAATTGGGAAACGGGGAGCTTATCTTTCCCAGTTCTATTCGACCCGGAAAGAAAGGGATGTGAGCTTCAGCCTGGGGGTGGAGGAACCAGTATGATACCGTACTTGGTGGCAGTTTGGACTATAGACCGGAGGGAATTCTAGGCTGCGGTCCAACAGGGGTTCTTCTGCGCGATTTTTCCCTGATGCTGCCGACCGTTGTATGTATGATACTTTAGCTGCGAACCGAGCCCCGTCGAGCCTACAGGTATGATTGCTTCGTGATAATTGGTGGGAGTGAGGATGAGAGAGGAAAGAGGAGAGCGGAGAGAGGGGGAGGGGGGGAAGGGAAGGAAGAATAGAAGGAATAAAGAATGAGAGGGAGAACAGCGTGAGCCAGTTTCTCACAAGAAACGGAGAAATCAACACGCGATCCTCGAGGGAGATTCCAGTAGCTTGGCAGCTCGAACCAGACCATCGCAGTATATAGCGATACTACAGCCGGGATTTTACCCATTTTGTAGATAGCTAGAGCAGTATCATGCCATTATGGCACCTACAGGGTCGGGCGCATTGCTATAACTTCCGACATAATACGAGCAGAGCTAAACATATAATATTATGTCTGCGAATTTGGACCCAATTCCTGTGCGATCCTCTAAAACTTCTACCGAGCCTATACAGAACATCAATCTCAATACTACATCCGACCCATCATTCACCAACCTCCTCCCTCCACCATTCCCTAAAAGCCCTCACTCTCTCCCCCCTCTCTCTAGCCACTCTCCTCCCCTCAACCGTCTTCATCCCGTCAGCCAACTTCAACAACTTTTCATCAAAATGCCTAATAACAGCTCCCAACCCTCCCTCCCGAGCCTTGACAGCCCCGAAAGTGAAGGTCCGCCCGATCCCCAAGGCTCCAATCGCATCCAGTCGATCCGCATCCTGCACGATTGCCAACTCCGGATACTGCCTCACTAGCTCCGCTACCTGCTGAGGATTCGCTTGCTCGTGGGAGTAGGAGACGTTGTTGATTAGCTTTTGCAAGAGAGACGCAAGGTCCGGCGATGCCCCGGCTGATAATAGGAAGTTTTCCGCGGGTCCGGCGGTGGTAGCGGTGACGGGGGAGTACTTCTTGTCGCCGACATCGTGGAGGAGAGCTAGGAGGATAACCAAGTTTTCGTCGTGGCGCGTTTCTGGCGAGGAGGCTCGCGTCGCGTGTAGGATTGCGAGGGATTGGGCGAGGACACGCTCTATGTGCTGGTAATTGTGAGAGGAATCGTACTTGGACATGTAGTCCCTCACGAATTCCTTTGTTGCAGTGATTAGCGGAGTGTCTTCGGTCACCATGATGATCTGGGGTGTTTGGATTTTCGTCTAATTGAGGAGGAAGCGAGAGATGGTCGGTGTTGTTTTTCGGTCTCAAAAGGAGAAGGATTCTATGATGACTCGAATTGAGCTAGGACGAGCCCCGGCCTTTTTCTTTTATCCCTTTCTCCTTCCCTCTCCCGAGCTTTCCTCTCCGGGTTTGACCAATAATGACCTCTGCAGCAGCCCCGACCCGGAAGGAATGTCGCTTGAAGTTGGACCTGCCAATTTGCGACCCCCGTAGTTGGATCCCGGCCTCCGCCTAATGGCTCTGATTCTACTGTATCATACCCCAAGCTACTTGTGCCAGAGGCCTGACTCCCATCTGGACTCTTGGCCACGGTATTGAATCACGGCCCAACCGCGGCTCGGCTGGATCACTACGGTATCGGTATTGCGAGCTCATCAGGGTTGGCACGGGGCCGGTATGATACTGGTACATAGCGAACACAGTACCGGTATCCAAATCCACCGACAAACAAACCCGACAGAATCGGAAAACTGTATCGTACCTACCTACAGCAGTGCCCCTACTATAACTAACTCTACCATACCGCTAACATTGCTTAACGCCCCAATCCCCCTCCTATTCTCCCTCGAGAACATGCCAAAAACACCGCCGCCGCCGCCGGCCGTGGGTTGACTGCAACGAACTTTGTTATGGCGGACTCGGTTTTGCCAACAAATTTGCTACTGCCAAGGAGTAACTTAATACAGAAGCCGGATTTCTCTGCAATGTGTTGTGATTTACGAACACTGCAAATCAACTGTAGGGCACCAGTCAGGTGTAGCGTAACGAATTTGGATGTTGGAAATCCGGGTACGCCCGTCACGTAAAATCACTTGTCGCTCAAATCCCCATGCAGCGCTGCCCAGCCAGAGACCCGACGCACCAAAGCGCGCGTACCAACATTCACGGCAAGGCAGGCGTACAGTACCCTACCAACCTCGCCGAAAATGGCTCGAATGCGAGAGGCAAGGATGATAGACTGCTCCGCGAGAAAATGCGCACTTACAGTAAATGAAATGTAAATACTGTATAATACCTCTATGCTCTTCACTAGACTCCTTTACCAAGAAATTGTAGGATAATAATATCAACTACCGCCACAACGACACTTGGATTAGTCGATCCAAAGCCCCGCACCCGAGGACGTGATGGGCAAAGGAATGATGAAGATAGCAGTGCCAGGAGGCTCCCGAGAAAATGAGACCGATATCCTCAGAAGCCACGCAAGTGGTGGACACGGCTTCAACCCAACACCCGGGTATGCTGTAAGGGTGCGAAATTTGGTATTAAAGGAAGAAATATCCCATCCAGCCTCAAAATAGTGGAAAAAAGACAAGACAATGTCGCGGGAAAGGGAAGGTGA